TCTCTTTTTTTTTTTTTTTTTTTTTTCTCTTTACCCTTTTTCTAGACAGAAGCAGCTAAACCAGTACTAGGAAAGTACTACAGAGAACCGAAAAATTCTGGACCTTTGCCACTTCACTTATTGGGAAGCCTCATAAGAAGTATGAAACAAGATCATTTCGTAAGCGATTCAGGAGACGTCGTGTACTATGAGACAGATCCAAAACTTAGTGGACAAAGAACTTGACAACAGACTGCAACAAACAAGGCAGACAAGTTCAAAGTTCATCTTGGTCCATTCTTTATGTTTTTGTTTTGTTTTGGTGGAAAGCCTTTTGGAAATATTAAAAAGCATTAATTGCAGAAATCTGCGGCAAAAAACTCACTTCATTGAACAATATATCAGATGGATATTTTTATATTTCATAACAGGATCCTGTTCTTGAATATCACCCAATCCGAACCTTATAATTCAAAGCTATTACTGATGAAAGATAAGACACAATTTTTATTAGCCAGTTACAACACACAATAGAACGGAAACAACAAGTTGATGCTCGAACCTATAGGCCTGTGGCTTTGTCACTAAACACTAATACTGCACAGAGTGAACAGCAGTAATGAAGGAACTTATCTTAGACTGATCCTTCTGGATGCCGTCAGGACCGCAAATACCACTGCTAACATCAATTCCATCAGGTTGAAGGATAGAAAGAGCTTCTGAAACGTTTGTGGGATTAATTCCTCCAGCTAAGAGCCACCCATGCCTGCTTTTGATAGAAGGTAACTTGAACTGAGCCCAGTTAAATCCTTTTCCACTACAAAAAAAAATTGTTAAAACTTATATAACCGTTGGACAAGAGAAAAATATGTTATTAAGTCGCTTGAGCCTTAGCCAAAATCAGTAAAGGAGGCAGATAATCTAAGCATGAGTTGAACCTATCACATTCTTGATAATTAATTACTTTGTGAAAGATGTGACCTGTTAAGTTGTTCCTCTAAAGAGTAAATTAGTATAATGTCATTTTAAAAAAATGTTCTAAGTACCTCCCACCCGTTGCACTATCCACAAGAATCCAATCAGCAAGATGACAATCCTCAGGAACTTCATTCAGGAGCTTTCCATCCTCACTAGCATTAAGGACATATATGACTCTCCTTTGCCGCACTAACCCCGCGAAAGCAGCACGTGAGCCATTACCATGAAGCTGGAAGAAAACCACAATCATCAACACTTCAACAAACTTGATAAAAATCACCTTAGAAAGATCAAAACGATAAAGAATATAGACAACAAACCTGGACAAGTTCAAGGTCTGCTTCATCAGCTGCTCTAAGTATCGTCCCCTCATCATCCTCAACAAAAACACCAACAGGTTTAGCACCACCTTCTCTCGCCACTCTGGAGATATCTTTAGCAACAGAAAGAGAAATGGAGCGTTTCGAATGCGGCCAAATGATCATCCCGATGAAATCAGCACCAGCTTCAACAGCCATAGCTGCATCTCGCGCTGATGTGATACCACACATCTTAACCAAAGCTTTATCCTTTCCTCTTCCATCATCCTTAGAAAGTGGTGATACATTCTCTGCGTTGGATAAACTGCAGCTAAATCTCTTGTTCTGAGCATACCCAACTCTCAAAGAAGACATCTTTCGATTGCTTAAACCTGAGAAAGCAACACACCCAATAACACAACAAGAAGAGATGGATGCCACGTCAGCAATGAAAATGGAAATTTTCAGTAACTAAAAGTCAAAGAAAGTAACCTGATTTGTAGGTTATGGAGGAAGTCAGAGCTTTAGGATGGAGGCAGAGATCTGTAGATATTCCTGAGAAAAAGAATAAAACTTTCTTCATTAACTGATCTTAGGATCAATCTTAGCATTAACAAATAAACAACACAAGACAAGAACACAATCAAGAATCCTCAGCAAGCAAAACAAATCATGTAATCAACTAAAGAAACAGATTGATAGCAGAGAGTAATCACTAAGTAATAAGTAATACTATTAGCAGAATTTTTTTTTTTTTTTAAAACTAAGCTCTCTGAGTAAATACGTCGAACAAGTGAGCTGCATTAAGTTCCCACACAGAACTCATCAACAGAAAGTGATGTACATATATATATATATACCTGTCGAGATCATAACTCCGATAGAGAAAGTCTCAGGTTGATTCAAATGAGACGACGAGGAAGATACAGAGGAGGGCCGAAGAAGATTAGAGAGAGGGAACTACCAACTCTTTTTTTTTTTGGATTAGGTGTAACCGAACCGAACCAAGCCCCACCGATTTGAATTTCTGGTTTTTAAAGAGCCGGAGAATACCGGTCGCTTTGAATTTAAATTTGGTTCTAAACCAACCAAAGAATACCGTTGACTATCTGTTAGGTTTCCATGTTCGAAAAATCGCTCTACAACGGCCGAGTATCCGACGATAATACGTGAGGCGGAGGATCGATTTGACTCTACTTGGCTATTATATCGGGATTTAGAAAAAAACTTCTTTTTTTTGTTGTTGTTTCAGATTATGTTTAAAAAGGTTTAATTTTGTTTTCGTTGGATTTTGTAAGAAAGTTTAATGGAATCGAGTACGAACTTATTGAAAGAGTCTTCGTAAAAAAAAAAACTTATTGTAAGAGTGAAATAATTAAGAAGCAGCTGGTTTTTGAAAACTAGAAGATTCGTTCGGTCAAGGGAGGAGAATAGACTGGGTTGCGGATCAAACCTGCCAATCCGTGAATTTTAATTTTTTTTTTGGTAAAAAAATCTAAGCTGCAGTTACATGATTTTAGCTAGGATTTAAGACCATGTCCATCGGGGGTCCTAAAGGGAGTTAATAAATGTTAAAAGGAAAAAAAATGAAAGAACTGGATCTCAAATTGAACTCTCTAGGATTAGTAAGGACCCCTTACGTGGCAATATTCCATTCGACCACCTTAATGTCTCTCTCTCTTTTCCTTGTGAAATCAGTTTGGCGTCTTTCTTCTTCAATTTCGTCGAAGTTGATTCGTCGGATCTCTCTCTTGGTCATCGATTCTGTCGAAATCTCCAACGTTAAAGTGCTAAGCTTTCGATTCTGGAGCTCACTCTTTCTTCAATGGCGTTAACCAACAACAAATTCTCTTGCTTTATCCTCATACCCACCACACGAACACTCTTTAAACCCATCAAAATCGCTCTCATTGGCCTCTCATCATCATCCGCATCTCAGAGTTTCATTCTCTCTCTCGTCCGCTGGCTTCTTCTTTGAGCGAGTTTGGTTTGATTTACTTCAGAGTACTTGTTGAGATTGGTAAAAGTATTGGCAAGACCGTCAAGAGCTTTCAACAGGTTTGCTCATTAGATAAACTGTTAGAATTTTAGAATCTGAAAATTTTAGTTTTAGCTTTTGATGAATCAAAGAATATAATATGCAATTCATTTGAAAAGCTTGTGTATTATATAATTGGAGTGATATTAGCTTTATGTTTTCGATAAAACTTACTGCTAATTGTTATGCTCGTGGTTCTACTTGTATGTTTTGTGTTCCTTTTGTGAATCTGTTGATTCTACTTAACTGTCTCAATTCATCTGTTTGGAAAGTGGAATGGCCTGCTTTGCTTGTTTAATTTGAGGAGCTAGATCATTCATATACGAGAGTTGATGTGTTTTCTTTCTTGGGTTCTGATACTGTATAAATTATTTGCTGGAATCTGGTCTGAACGACATGTATAAAACCAAGGAACATAATCTTTATATATAAAGAACAACTCTACTCTCTTCTCATTCACCCACGTCACTTTGTGATGTCATAAAATAATATCACCATAATTTGACATCTGTCAATGCGATACAATCAAACCGGTTTAAGACATTGTTTTATTGAGCCTCATGTGTTTATATTTCCTCAACCCGAAATCCCATTAAGAGCATACTTTGAATCAATGTATGAGATATCGATTAGGTTTTCTCCACTCCTCCTTCTTCAGCCGTTTAACTTTTCAGATTTCTTAGCTGTTTATACCCGATCTCTTCGTATGCATAGATGATCTTAACTATATCATTAATCGCTCATCTACGATGAATGCTAGAGCTTAATGGTTCCATGCGGTGATTTCGGGTGAGCTTTTATGTTCGCATTCTTCATCCCAAATCTCTAAATTTCGTTAAAAATTATCTGCTATGGCTAACATGATGGTTCTCCTCTCTGATCTTCGGGCCGGTCGCTCTTCCTCAACCGTGCAAGTCTGGTTGCCTCATCTCTGGGAAGCCAAGAACTTCCGCCGTGGTGGAGAACTTATGGGCGTGGACATGCTCCTCCTGGATTCCCAGGTGATGTTTTTGAACCTCCTTCTATTTTATTTAATCGATTGAGTGCTGAGAATCCGTTTTAGTTTTATTGTGTTTTTGGGTGCTCGGTATCTATATAATCTATTTGAAAATCATTTGATGTAAAGATCTTATGAAAATCTGATTAATGATGAGTTCATATCTTTGTTTGTAGTGTGATTTGTTAGCATTCGTTATAAGATTTTCTCTGTTTGGTTTTACTATCTGGATGAAGTGGTCAAGTTTTAATGATTTGCTATGTTTTGATTTAAGATCCGGTTCAATTTTTCGAGCGTTCAAGAATGGCATGTGGAAGAAGCTTCATTGTTAAAGTAATACTATAGATTGCTTTCTCATTAAGTTTCTTGCATCCTAAGTAATCTATTTCTCAGTAACATGGTCTGTTTTTTACCTGATCTAGATCAGGTCACCTTTTACAATTGTGGGCGTGACAAGTCAGATAATAGGGAGACAAGAGCTTGCCATGTGTCTCTCTAAGATAGTTTAGTTTCTTCATGAATTGGTCTAAACAAGAAGAAGAAGACTAAGGGAAACCAGTAACGTTATCTTCTGGTTGGACACAAAAGGTAAACCGAATCAATTTTTTAACCATCCAAAACTGTTTTTTTTTCTTTCTAAAATTGGTTTTACTTAATCGGGTTATGGTTCTGTTGCAATATTTTTAAGCGCTTGGAATGCGTTGGATCGCTTGGTGCAAGCAATTTTTGTCTAAGAAACCAGAGGAGAAGGTGGTCAAGTAAAGTGATGGAAAATCTAACTCCATTTATGGAGCTAGAGTAGGAGAAAGCTTTATGCTTGGATCAACAAGTTCTGCAACCAAGTCTTCCTGTTACAGAAACTTGACCACTGGCAATACGTCAGTGTTAATGAGTTTAGTAATCAAGCTGCGGCAAGGATTGCTTTAAGTGTCACTTGAGAGTCGAGACCACAGATTGTCTTCCTGGTTACGTCAAGTGCTGGTCTCAGACATTACCAATGTGTAGTTGGCTCTCCCTGAGTCTCTTTTTTAGCAGTCAGTTTGCAAGCATCTGCCGTATCTTCTCCTCCAAGTATCTACTGATATTTTCTAGCTTTTGCTCTCAATTTGTATTTTCTCTGTTAGTCTTTTCCTTTGGTTGTTTCCTCTATCTTTCATTTTATGTTTTCCAAGAGTCCTACGTGACTGTACTCTGTTTGCAGCAATGAAATTCTCAGTGTTAGACTATGTGGAATCATGTTTTCCAATGGCTCGATTTCCAATCTTAGTTTTAAGTTATTTTATTAGTTTTTTTCTTTTTCGTTTTCTTAAGAAGAAAAAAATAGCTAATCATGGGCCACCACGTGTCGTGGGGCCCGCGGCACAGTAATAAGACTCAGCTCAATCAATCCTTAGCTTAGGATTTTTCTATTTGGGTAATGTTACGAAAACCAAAAAAGTCAATATTATAATATTTTTTTTTAAGGATTACGGCTATGTACTCGGCGTTACACTTGCTCTTAGAAAAAAGACAATCAGTTTTTATGTTTTTTTATCATTTATTATTTGATCTCAATAGTCCAAAAACTACCACTGATATAGACAAAGCCTTTTCTTTTGTATTTTTCATTTCATTATAACTACAAAAATTGAAATTTCTTCTTGATTTTGCCTTTATGTTACAGATTATAACAAAAGAATTGTTTTAGTATGTACAAGCAACTGTTATTTTTATGTTAGTTTCGACTGCGATTAGTGTTTGATGTTGTTTGAAATGTCAATCTGATCTCTTCCTTTTGCCAGTGCTGCAGCAGTGAAGTTTCTTGCAGACATAAAAATATTCAAATCTGCTTTGAAAATTGTGGCCAATATAGTGAATATTTATTCTTGGGTTGCAATATTGTGATTCTCGATATTTTTTGTGAAGGGAATGGTAGTACATGATCAAGCAACGGGTTATTATTGGTCACAAGCCACATGAGCCATAGTAGTTGCATCAGTGATTCGACATGTTTTTTCTGAAGTGTGGTTTTACATGTTTTTCTGAAGACTAAAGTTACGTTTGAAGCATTGAAAAATGGTAATTCATGAGATTAAACCCATATTGTAAGAGAGCATAAACCATCTGAAATTAAGTTGTGAGGATATTAGTTCCAAAATTGGAGCAACAATGTTAAGATTTTTTTTTGTTAAAGAGCAATGTTACGATTTGTCATCACATAAATATATGTATTAATAGTGCTGCAATATAAACATATCATACACTATTAAAAACTCTTATTCTAGAGCAGTGAGACTGTCCACGTGGACTAAATAGTCAGCCAATAGGAATGTTGTTTTTTTCCACGTCACGCACAAATTTTATTCTTCTTGGACTTTTTTTATTTTTAGCTTAATAATTCCGTAAACAACCGTTGTGTAATGCTACATAACTATCGCTTTTAGTTTAGCCAGAGATAATAATTTTTATTTCGTCGGTGCTCATTCGTTGCATAATATAAGTCAAGAAGGTAGACAGCTTTGATTTGGTCAGTTAAAATTTTGTATATTTAAATTGTTATAAAATTTCTCAATAAGCTTAAAAAATCGATTAGAGGTCTAATAAGAAAACAATCGAAACTGTTTCCTAAATGATTCTTGAACAAAAAGGATTGAAGAAGGGGGTGAGATAAGAAGCCAAAAACATCAGATAATTGTAGTCTGAGTTTTGGTCGACATAATATTTCCGAACAATTGTTATCATCTTGCCATTGGCTCTGTCTCATCAAAACTTGAAGGAGGAGAAAACAAAATCACCATCAAGAAAAAAAATAAAAAGGTTGAAAATGAAGGCTCAGAAGGATCCATTGGTAAATTTTCTAATCAGAGTTTCACTCATAAAATAGGTAGATTTTCATCATCAGTGCCTCTGCTATGAACCCGATCTCAAAAAGATAGAAAAAAATTTCGCATAAAAAACAAAATTGAAAAAAAAAAATTCAAATCAGGGTGAAAAAGATGAACAAAACATTGAAACATGATTGTGGAGAAGTAGAGATTCTACGGCTGAATCATCTTTCAATTGTTTTAGAGTGGTGAAGCTGTGGACGGAAATATATATGACAATGGAGGTAGCTAGGATTTACGTTTGAAAAAGAATTGGGTCAGGTTGTTCACGCTAAGTCTTGGATTTGGGCCTTGTGAATTGTTTCAAACTCCTACCACTGAAGGTTTTAATCTAACAGAATTGAGAAATTCAAGATTTTTTAAAAATCTAATATATTATGTTAATATAATTGTGAAAACATCATACACTTTTAAAAGCTCTTATTCTAGAGCAATGAGACTGTTAACATGGGACTAAATAATCAGCCAATAAGAATGTTGTTTTTTGTCACGTCACTCACGAACTTTTGTCTCTGTCTCTGTCTTTTCGCTTTTACGATCATCGCTCCGACTTCTCCTTTCGTCGGAACCACCATGCTCATGCCGTCTCCGCCGCTACACGAGTTCGTTTTCACCATTGAAACAAGCCACAGTCCGAAATCGTTGAATCGAGAAGTTCATCTTCTTCTCATAGAGCAGAGCGGACGATTTGTGCCTAACGGATCGTTTGGGTTGATTTTGGCTCGAGGAAAATGAAGCGAGCGATTCATTTTCTTTAGATCGAGCGTTTCATGAGCTTCGGAGGTAGTAAGAAGTTCGGCGCCGAGGGCCATAAATCGAGCGTGCAGATCTCCAGACTTGGTCGATTCGTACTTTTCAGGACATGAGACTTTGGTTTGGGGCACATCTTCTCCACCACGAACGCTCTTCAACTCACGTACAACAATGGCTGATCTTTTGAGAAATTGCAGGATTGGCCCCTGTGTTTTGGCCCCTTTTTATTTCGGCCCCAAAACTTCTATATTGTGAAGAAAAGTCCCCAGATTTTTCCCAGAACTTTTAATTATGTTTCCCAGCCCTCTGTGTATGAAATATGTACAAATGCAACATCTAATGACACATAAATGGAACTGCTAAACAAAATAAAATAAAATTAATAGCTAAAAACTTGGAAAAATGCTATATCTTACGTGGGAAACAAGAAAACATAAAAGTAAAAACAAAAAAAGTTGTTACTTTCCTCATTTCCTTGCCTCTCCTATGAAAACATAGAAATACTTTTTGATTGTGTTTTTGTTAATATCTGACATGTTTCAGTTCAAATCAGTACATTGTATATATAGTAGTTCTGATTTAACAAATGTTTTTTTTTTTTTTTGCTAAAATTTGGTGCTTTAACAAATGTTTCCGTAGAAATGTTATAGATCATTTCTCCCACACGAAAACACTGGTTATGTCCAGTTTGGATATATTTTCAACAATTTGCTTGATATTGAAAGGGTGTATACCATTTCTATTTTGAGATGTTGGTTTTATCTAACGCGCACTTTCGTAAAATAATATCTAATTTTTTTTTCTTTGGACTGAAAAATCCAATTGTTTGAGATTAACCATTTAGATCATTTTGAATCATGATTCCAAAACAACAGAGCTGATGTAATTTTATCTCTAGAAGCATAACAAAATGCTATTATTTTACAAAACTTGAAATAGTGTGAAAAATGTTATACCAATTCTGTGTAATATTATTTATCATATCAAATATTAAAATAATGTATTTTATTAATTTTTGTTTAATTATAGATAAATTAGTTTTATTAATTAGTTTTAACTCATAGTTATACCTTATATTTTTGAATTTTTACATTACTAAAACATTAAACTACTATTGTACTTATATTTTTAATTAATCATATAGCTAAATGAGTATTACCAATAATATTAAACTGTAACAGAATAAAAATGTTTTTCCTTTCAAAAAGTATAAAATTTTAATATCGAATATTAATAAATAAATATATATAAAATTTACTACAAAAAGAATATATATAATTATATATAAATAAACATATAAATACAAAATTTTAATAATTAAATATAATAAATCAGTTACAAATAATTAATGTAATAAATTACCAAAATTAAAAAGTTAATGAATATAAAAAAAATTGGTGTAAAGTTTAGTGTAACAGTTGGAGATGAAAAATAAAGTTTAACAACAAATTTCGTGTCAAGGTGGGAAATGATCCCAGTAAGGTTGTGTTATATTATTTTTATGGATTTTGACATTTTTTATTTTTGGCTTCTGCAGAATAGTTTTGTTTAGTTACAAAGAGAATTTGATTGAAAATTTGTATTACTGGAGACATCATTAAGCAATATAAATTATATTTTTACGTTTAGCATCTAGACAAAAAAAATTAAGTTTTATCATTTTCAATAACCTTTTACTTATATGTTTAAAGATATGGTCTCTTATCAACTATAGAGTATTAAAGTAACACTGCTTTCACAATTATCATAATGAGAGATACCTTTAGTAACAAAAATAAATGATGAGTGCACATTTCTAAAACAGAATTTTGAGGTACAATATTATGTATATGTCATATTAATTCAACATAACTAAACATATAAATTCATATAATTAATAATTTGTGCGAACAACTTCTAAAATATATTTTTAAAACATTCTAAAAGAAACGTAGTAAATGATTAAAAAATAAAATAAAAGCAATATAACAGAAAAAATATATATATTCATGAAATATAATATTATATTTTTACAATAATTTCTGCTATGTATTATCAAATTTTGTTTTACTCATTTCAGTATTGCACTATTATATATATTCAAAATGGTTCCAGTCTTAAACCAACACTCAATAATATTTTAAATTCATGATTTAAGTTTACAGCAATGTTATTATTTTTTTTCCTTATACACTTATTTTATAAAAAAAATTTGATATTTTATTTAAGTCAATATACAAACAACACAATAATTCCACACTGTCTATTTAACTTTTTAAAAAGATGTTATATTAAATGCAACAACTTATAAACATATAAAAAATTGATAATTTTCAAAATAT